ATCCCACTCCCTCCACCCACCGATGCTCAGTCGCAGCAGTGTGTACCATCTACAAGATGCGCTGCAGAGATTCACCAAAGATCCTCAGGCACTGTCTTCCAAACCCCACGACCCACTTCCATCCAGAAGGACAAGGGGCAGCAGATACATGGGACCCCCCACCCCCTGCAACTTCCCCTCCGAGCCACTCCCCATCCCGACTTGGAAATATATCGGCCGTTCCTTCAGTGTCGCTGGGTCAGAATCCCTGGAATTCCCTCCCTAAGGGGACATTGTGGGTCAACCCACAGCACATGGACTGCAGCGGTTCAAGGGGGCAGCTCACCCCCACCTTCCCAAGGGGGGCAACTAGGGGCAGGGGGCAATAAATGCCAGCAACACCTTCATCCCACAAGAGAACTTTTAAAACAAAATTTAAGAACTGTTTGACATGGTCTTATTGCAGATATCAGAAATAAATATTCAACCTGTTTATCCTCACAATAAACTTCCTGAAACTCAAAGCCCAGTGAAAGGTTCATCCTATTCCCATTCGGAAGTTCTCTGTTTAGCTGTACCAACTGTAGGTATTTGGTCTTTTTTCTGACAACTTCTGCATTTGCTTGCTATTGTCTTTACTCGATCTCTCGTCACGAAACCCCGAAACTTTTTTTTTCCCTTTATTCATTCACAGGATGAGGGCATTGCTGACCAGGCAGCATTTATTGCCCATCCCTAATTGCCCAGCGGGCAGTTAAGAGTCAACCACTTTGCTGTGGGTCTGGAGTCACATGTAGGCCCAGACCAGGTAAGGATGGCAGTTTCCTTCCCTAAAGGACATCTGACGCAGCTTACTCCCCAATATGTGCTCTTTAAAGTCACGTTTACCAGCTTTGCGTTCCGTCTTCCTGTCAGATTTCTTAAATCTTTTTGCTTCCGCAACTTCTCTTGGTACCTTCTTAGCCAATGTGTGCTCCTCTTCCTCTGCCCTGACTGTTGTGGAGACAGCTAAATTGCGTCGTCTCTGGTGCAGATGTTTTCTGTTTGACTTGCCTCTCTCTGAAAGAAAACTGCCCGTTCCCTCAACTTCTGCATCGGTCGGATTTTCCTGACATAGTCACTGCCTTGAGACACCTTGATGCTTGGGGACAGCCCAATTTCTTCCACTCACTTTTTTTTGCTGGATTTCCTACTTCAATGCTTCTTTTTTAAGCCGAGCTTCATTTTAACGTGCACAAACAAATTCTCCACGCAACCTGGCACTACTTTCAGAAGTGGAAAAACATTAAAACAATGTCCTTGTTGTATAGACCAAACCCCCTCAAAATATCCAAGAGATTCCTTTAAAAAAGTAAATGCTAGGTTTTAGGCTTAGAGTAATGTGCGTCCTTTCCAATGCGATTCACATTGGGCAAACTACTAGGCTTTGAGTAAAACATGCTTCGTGCTTACCCTACAGTTAAAACACAAACAAAAGTATAACTTTTATCAAAATGCTTATCAATAATACATCTCTTAACTACAACCGATCACTTGTTCTAATTCTGTGAACACTCCCTTGATAAGGCAAATTCAGTAAAACAGATTTCTTCCACTTGCAGTCTCCTTTAGTCCAGGAGAATGCAAACAAAATAATAAATTCTCGCAGCAGAGAGAGAGAGCTACATCGAGCAGCTTCAATCCCAGCTGAGACAACCGAAAACAAAAACTAAACCCCCTCCACGCCCTGAGGAAGGTTCACTGCATCCAGAACGTTAACTCTGATTTCACCCTCCACAGATGCTGCCAGACCTGCTGAGCTTTTCCAGCAACTTCTGTTATTTTTTTTGCCCTTCAGCTGCGTGAGCCCGACTCCATCCATCCCCTGCTCCTCTTGCCCACATTTAAAAGAGAAATTGAACTGAAAGTGTGAGGATGAATGCACCTACCAGATGTATCTCAGGCTTTTGCAGCGGTCTACCAGATGGCTGAAAGCAGGGATGGACTGGTCACTGAAGCTGTTCCTGTTCAAATATAGTCCTTTCAACCTTTGGTTCCTGCTGAGGGCTGAGGCTAGTTCCTCAGCGCACGCATCTCGGAGTCCATTGTCATCGAGCCTGCGAAATCATCAAGGTGAAGGTGGGAAGTTAAAGGTAGAGACACATCCTGGCGACTCTCATACACTCCCTTAAACCGTACGCTCCCTCCTTTGCCGCAGATGTACTACAGCGGATTACTCAGTCTCCCCAGCACCTTCCCAATCCACAAATACCTCCATCCACAAGGAGGAGGGCAGGAGATACATGGTTCATATCTCTCTCTCTCTCTCTCTCTCTCCCTCTCTCCTGGTAGGCTCCCCTACTTCTGTCTTTATCTCCTTCATGTTCTGATACTCCTGTCTTTCCCTGGCTATCATCTTGTTTTGCCCTGCCCAAAAAAAAACCCGCAAAATGTGGCATTTAGTTCACAGGTATTGTAGAGCTTTGGTAAACGAATTTGGCCTCTATCTTACCGTTTACTCCCTACCCCACCCACTTCCCTATTTTCTACATATAAACTGACGTTTTCCCAGCCACCATCAGTTCTGAGGAAGGGTCACCGGGACCCGAAAGGTTAACTCTGATGTTCTTCTCCTTCACAGACTCTGCCAGACCTGCTGAGCTTTTCCAGCAACTTCTGTTTTTTGTTCCTGATTTACAGCATCCACAGTTCTTTCGGTTTTTAAATTTGGTAAACGAGCAGTGGGCTTTGAGATTGATGAAGTAACACTCTCAAAGAGACAGCACACAGACATGGTGTACTGAATGGCTTCCCCAGCGCTGCCCAGGGCATTATTAAATCCTTCACCTTTCGCCTCCCCACTCACAATCTTGTCCAGTGTTCCATTCCTCGTATACCTTAATATTCTGTTATCGGTTCTGGACCATATTCCTTTCAAGCGACTGGGTCAACCAACCATTTGGCAACTGGACCTCTTAACTGCTCGACAGCGCGACACCTTGGTTTCTTCATTCTTTCTGATATTCCTTCGCACCCAACGGCACCCACATTGTGTGCCTACGCACACGGGCTCGGTAAAAACACAAAACGCGAGATAACTTTATTCGGCATTCCCACCATCAGGGTGAGACATCCCGTACGGCCAGGGAACCGGGACCAAGCAGAGTCCGGGAGGGCCAACGTTTATGTTAAAAAAACAAAGTGAAGGAAGGTAGGGAACCAAATCCAAATAGAAATGGAGGGCTTAATGAAGCCCGGGTCTCCCTAAATGCATCAAGTGTGTAGGTGGGCACCCTCATGCTCCCTCTCCCAAGACCCCCCACCACGGCCTGGACCTGTAAATGAGCAGCCCAGCTAGACCCAGGAGCAGACCCACGAGGAGATCCTCTGACCGGCCCCCCACCCCCCAACACTGGGTTCCCAAAGACCAGGCGCTTGGGGAGGGGCTGGAGTGCAACCAAAAAGCAGAGGACAAGGTCCTTAAAATAACTTAGAACGGGGTGCAGACGCCCACAACCCATATGTACATAGTGCACAGCCTCCACAGTGCCACAAAACCAACAGAATCATTGAATTATACAGCGCGGAAACAGACCCTTTGGTCCAACTTGTCTGTGCTGACCCGATATCCTAAACCAGCCTAGTCCCATTTGCCAGCATTTGGCCCGTATCCCTCTGAACCCTTCCTATTCATGTACCCATCCAGATGCCTTTTAAATGTTGTAATTGTACCAGCCTCCACCACCTCCTCGGGCAGTTCATTCCATACACGCACCACCCCCTGCCTGAAAAAATTACCCCTCAGGTCCCTTTTAAATCTTTCCCCTCTCACCTTAAACCTATGCCCCTCTAGTTTTGGACTCCCCTACCCTGGGGAAAAGAGCTTGACTATTCAACCTATTCATACTCCTCATGATTTTATAAACCTCTATAAGGTCACCCCCTCAGCCTCCAATGCTCCAGGGAAAATAGTCCCAGCTTATTCAGCCTCTCCCTGTAGCTCAAACCCTCCAGCCCTGGCAACATCCTTGTAAATCTTTTCTGAACCCTTTCAAGTTTCACAACATCCTTCCTATAGCAGCGAGACCAGAATTGCACACAATATTCCAGAAGTGGCCTCACCAATGTTCTGTAAAGCTGCAACATGACCCTCCCAACTCCTATACTCAATGCACTGACCAATAAAGGCAAGTATACCAAGCACCTTCTTCACCACCCTGTCTACCTGTGACTCCACGTTCAAGGAATTATGTACCTACAGTTGGGCTGGGAGTCTGTAAGCTGCCACAATCTGCAGTTGTGGGTGAGTGCTACATGTAGTACCTTCCAACCCAGATCCCTGAGAGAAAGGGTACGAAATGCCTCCACTAGACATTCTCTAGGTTCCTTCATTACTTGTCATTGAATTGATCAATGATTTGACCCAAAGGCCAATTGATGATTGAAACCTATGACCTATTGATGAATAAACCCAATAACCAAATGATGATTGAAACCCTTGACCAATTGATGAATAAACCCAATAACCAAATGATGATTGAAACCCTTGACCAATTGATGGTTGAAACCCATGACCAATTGATGATTGAAACCCATGACCAATTGATGATTGAAACCTATGACCTATTGATGATTTAACCCAATATCCAATTGATGATTGAAGCCCATGACCTATTGATCATTTAACTCCATGACCGATTACCATTTGATCCAGTGGCAATAAATGCTGGACCCAGGCAACAATGCCCACATGCTCCACGACTGAAGAGAGAAAAGTAAGCAATAGACTTACTCCAGTTTCTGTATCTGACAGGCCGGTGCCCTCAGTGCCGTACATAGCCTCCTCAATCCCAGGTTGCTGAGCCGGTTGTAACTCAGACTGAGCTGTGTGAGCGAGTGGTTTGTGTTGAGTACTTGAGTCAACTGCAGTGCGCACAGGGCCGTCAGCTTGTTATTATTCAGCCTGGAGAGAGGCGGACATGAGAGTGTGAGGTAGAGACATGCAAAGACGCTGCTTCTTCAAATCAGAACCGTGCTTCGGGGCCACCATTAAAGTGGGTGGGTGGGTGGTGGGTGGTGGCTAACAAAATCATAGCATCCCCAACGTGTGGAAACAGGCCATTCAGTCCAACACATCCACGCTGACCCTCTGAACATCCCACCCAGACCTATTCCCCCTATAATCCACCATAACCTGCACATCCCTGGGCACTATGGGACAATTTAGCACGGCCAATCCACCCTAACCTGCACATCCCTGGGCACTACGGGACAATTTAGCACGGCCAATCCACCCTAACC